ACTGCACCTGGCCTATTCATACATTTTCTAATGTCAAATGTCCTTTTATTTCTTATATTCAACCCAGCTTGACCATGATGTATTTTTTTGGTTTTATTGTTGGTGGATTTAGATTTGCTAATATTGTATCTAGGATTTTTGTGTCTATGTTTATAAGTGACAGTGACCTTAAGCCTTTTCTTTCTCCTCCTGTCCTTGTTCTGATATTTTGGGTATTCTCATGGAGTGAGCAGAGAGTCTGTCTCCTGTTTTCTACTCCCTGGACCCACATGTGTAAGATGGGGATTGCAAAATTGGTAGAACTCTTCTTGGAAACCCTCTGGCCTCTTGGAGTGTTTGGAGGGATAGATTTGAAACTACTAGCTGGGCTCAGTGGCTCAGCCTGTAATCCCGTGCTTTGGGAGGCTGAGGTGAGTGGATTGTCTGAGCCCGCGGGTTCAAGACCCACCTGGGCAACTTGGTGAGACCTCATCTCTACAATAAATCAAAAAATTAGCAGGGCGTGGTAGCACGCGCCTGTAGTTCCAGCTCCTTGGAAGCCTGAGGCGGAAGGATCGCCGGAGCACAGCAGGTCGAGGCTGCGGTGGCTGGGAGTGGCCACTGCACTCCAGTCTGGGCGACAGAGTGAGACTCCAACTCAAAAAAAAAATAAATAAAAATAAAAAAAATAAAAATAAAACTACTGAGCCGGGCTCGGCGGTTCAGCCTGTAATCCTATGCCTTTGGGAGGCCGAGGTGAGTGGATTGCCTGAGCCCGCGGGTTCAAGACCTGCCTGGGCAACTTGGCGAGACCTCATCTCTACAATAAATAAAAAATTAGCCGGGCGTGGTAGCGCGTGCCTGTAGTTCCAGCTACTTGGAAGGCTGAGGTGGAAGGATTGGCGGAGCCCAGCAGGTCGAGGCTGCAGTGGCCGGGAGCGGCCACTGCACTCCAGTCTGGGCGACAGAGTGAGACTCCATCAAAAAAATAAAAATAAACAAAAACAAAAATAAAACTACTGTTTCAGTTCTTTTATGCTACAGTTTTACATGGTTTTTTTGTTTTGTTTTGTTTTTCCCTTCTTGACTAAGTTTTGGTAAGTTATGTTTTTTTAGGAAATGATTCATTTTCTAAAAAAAATCAGTATTTTAAACTTTTGGGTGGGTATAAACATGTTCTTTTATGGTTTAAAGAAATCTACTGTGTCTATACTTATACTTCCTTTTTATTCCTGATATTGTTTGTGACTTCCCTCTTTTCTTACTGTGTCTTATCAAAAGTACATCTAGTTTATTATTCTTTTCAAAGAACCAGCTTTTGGGGTTTATTGTGTGTAGCAGGTACTGTTCAAAGCAGTAGCGTGAACAAAATTGGTAAAAATCCCTGCCTTGTACATTCTAATGTGGAGAGACAATTAGTGAATCATAAGGATAAAAAGATAGTAAATTCCATGGTAGGCTAGAAGGGCATGGTCGCTACACAATGGATCCGGGTCAGGAAGATGGAGAGAAATGAGGTGAGGGGCATGAGCAGGTTACAATAATAGGGTGGTTAGAGTGGAGAAGATGGCATTTGACAAAGACTTGAAGGAGGAGAGGGAATTAACCACATAGATACCTAAGGAAAACAGGTTCCAGTCAGAAGGAACAGCCAGTGCACAGACTTTCAGGTAGAAGAAGACTGCCTAGAGTGAGGAAGAAAGAGCAAGGCCAAGGGCTGGAACAGAATGAGCAATTGTGGCAAAGAGTCCTTTGCCTGATCCTACAACTTGTCCATTGCTCAGACTTCAGATCTGGATCTGAGTGAAGTGCCTTGCAGACTTGCACAGAGAGATGACATGATTTAGTTTCTTTTTCTTTTTTTTTTTGAGTTGGAGTCCCACTTTGTTGCCCAGGCTGGAGTGCAGAGGCATGCTCACGGCCACCTCAGCGTTGATGTGCTGGGCTCTGGCAATCCTTCCACCTCGCTGGAACTACAGGTGCGCACTACCACGCCCGGCTAATTTTTTTATTTTTATTTTTATTTTATTGTAGAGACAAGTTCTTGCCAAGTTGCCCAGGCTGGTCTGGAACCCGAGGGCTCAGAAAATGTCTTGGCCTCCCAAAGTGCAGGGATAGACTGAGCCACCAGCCCAGCCAGGACTTAGTTTTTAAAAAAGATAATCTTGGTTACTATGCTGCAAATAGACTGAAGGGGCCAAGAGTGAAGGCAAGAAAAGCTGTCAAAACTAGGGCTATCATTTTGAGAGATAATGGTGGCTTGGACCACATAACAGTGTAGGTGGTGGGAAGGATTGGATTCTGAATATTTTACTCTGATGCTAGAGCCCACCAGATTTACTTCCCATTTTTATGCTTGATGTGAGAGAAAGAAAAGGGTCAAAGATATCTCCAGGAAGTTTGCAAAGCCTGAGAAACTGTAGTGATTGAATTGCTAACAGTGTTGCTCATATTTCATTGTTTTCTATTTCTTCAATTTCAACTATTATCTTTCTGTTTCTTTCCCTATATTTTATTTGGAGTTACTGTGGTGTTCTTTTCTGAGTTAAAATAATATTTTACCTAATCTAAATCTCTCCCTTTTGCCTCTGAACATTTGCATGTAAGATTATACATTTCCCCCTATTAAAAGATAAACTGAGACACATTAAAAATTAGAAGTTTATTTGAGCCAACAGTGATTCATGAATTGAGCAACTCCAGACTGTAAGTGGTTCAGGGCTCTACCAAAGGATGTGAGTGGAAAATGTTACAAGGTGTGTGGGGAACAAAACAAAGAAAATATTTGATTGATTAAAGTGAGTAGTAACCCTAAGATTCCTAGTTAGAGGTTTGTTGGCAGCTTCTGATTGATAAAACTTTTGCTTTCCTAGGATATGACTGTTCACCAGAGTTGGGATTCAATTCGCTTCTGAAGGGACTAGGACTAGGTCTGCCTCAGTCTAATGGCCTCCCATTAATTACTTTAAGACACCCTAAGTGCTGTTAAAGCCACTCTTTGCACATTTTGATGTGTACTGGTTTTATACTCACTTAATTTTTAATATTCTCTAGTCTCTACTCTCTAATAGTCTCTATTCCTTAACACATACATTGCTTAAAAGGGTGCTTTACATCTCTAAATGTATTCCAAAATAACTTTTGTTACTGATCTCTAATTTTATTACATTTTGTTTAGATAATGTTATCTGGATGATATCGATTCTTTGATGATATTTGGGCTTACTCTGTGACTTACTCTACTCATTTAAAAGGACTCCTCATTCTCTGATGGATGCAGCCTTCCCCATATGACCAGCAGAACCAATTTATAAATTTATGCCGGTTCAGTCCCATACTCAAGCAGAGTCCTTTTGTGCTTTTTTTTGAAGAGAGGAAGACTGGGGAAGACAGATACATTGGTAGTGTCAGCCATCTTATGTGCTGTGGGAGTGTAAGTTGCAGGCTGAGGAGCATGGGAGGGGGGCTGCACTCTCAGAGTGGGTTTGACCCCAGGAGTGTCCAAGACTTGACTGCTCAGAAGAGCTCTGTGAGGGGGTTCTAGACAAGGTATGGGGGAAGAGCGATGGGGGAAACTCTGGTTCACCTCAGCACTGCTCCGAAGGCCTCACTGCATGAGGTATTCTCCGAGGGTGGGGGTCCCATAACTCACTCATAGCACCATATCCCAAAGGATCCCAGATTCACACCCTTGTTGTGCATGGGCTCCCTAGTTACCTCTGATGCCAGAGAATCACTCCAGAAACCTAAAATGGCTGTCTTCCTTGGCAAGGAGATTGGCACAAATCGAAGTCTGCAATCTGGACCTCTCCTCTGAGCTGCTGATGATGCGAATTGTTTAGTATGGCAGTACAATGGCCCCTCCACTAGGCTGGGTGCTGTGGCCAGCGTGCACCTTGCTGCTCCTGCAGGTCTCTCAGTGGGATGGGTGGGAGTCAGGGACCACACTTCTTCATCACAGAAGTCGACATGGAAATGGGATGTTGGGCATTGAAGATGATTCAGATTCTCAGCTCAGATTCTCTTCCCAGGGAAGCAGGAGTTTCATGTTGCTTTTTCTGTTCAGTATTTTAAAAGACTGTTCCATGACCTTGGCCTGAAAATATCCGGTTTAAAAGTATCTGTTGGAAGATGCTTTATAGTAGGTCTAACTGGCTAAGGCTCTTCTCTACTGTTCGGCTGGGCAGCCCTGGGCTGGGCACTGGGAGGTTATAGCATGGCTCTAAACCGTTCAAAGGACAAGAAAAGATTAGGGTGGAATAGAAGGTTTGAAATCCTCTGGGATGCAGCGTTCAGACCTGTGTGAGCCTAGTTCCCAGGGAAACTGCTCATTGGGTTGTCTCCCTGGGCTCTTTTCAGAAATCTGTTAGTTTGCTAGGGTTGCCATTACAAAGTGCCTCAGACTGGGTGGATTAAACATCAGAAATTGTCTCACAGTTGTGGAGGTTAAACGTCTGAGGTCAAGGTGTTGACAGGGTGGGTTCCTTCTGAGGTCCTCAAGGGCAGGCCTCTCTCCTTGACTGTGGATGGTCGTCTTCCTCCTGTGTTTTCTTCACATCATCTCTCCTCTGTTTGTGTCCAAATTTCCTCTTCTGGTAAGGACAACAGTCCTGTTGGATTAGGGCCCACTAGAGTGACCTCATTTTAACTTTATTACCTCTGTAAAGATCCTATCTCTAAGTGCAGTCACATTCTGAGATATTGGGGGTTAGGACTTCAACATATGAATTTTAGGGAGTGAGACTCAATTCAGGTCATAACAATAACCATTTCACCATGGCTTCTAATCTCCTCTAGTTGAACAACACTCATATTCTCTGGCATTTTATCCTTTATTTACAGACTTTGGTTACAGAAATGACACAGCCTTTAATAAGTGAGTAGTTACTGCACTAGCTGATTTAGAAAAAACCCATGTCCTATAAGCCCATTTCTTTCTTCCTTCCAAGAACATCTTTATTCCTTCTAAGAACAGATAACCTCACCTTGGATTTTTCTTGTTTTGTTTTGTTTTCTTCCAGGGCACGCCCCTCCTACCCCACAGCCAAAGTGCACTGACTTCCAGAACGCCAGCCTTCTTTGGGGCACCAAACTCAAAGTCCAGTTTCTCCTCTTTGTCCCTTCGGATCCTAGCTGTGGGCATCTAGTAGAAGAAAGCAGTGACATCCAAAACTCAGGGTTCAATGCTACTCTGGGAACCAAACTAATTATCCATGGATTCAGGTGGGAGCCAACCAACCAATAGGATCTCTCAGCTAAGAACAACTGAGTGACCATAATGCTATGAGAAGTCAGTGGGGAGCAAGAGGAGGACTGACCATCACATGTTCTATTCCTCTCATCCTGCTGCCTTTGAAGGGATCTCTTGTCAACATGCACATACGTTATGCTGTTCATTCTCATTGGTTATATATGTCATCCCTCCACCCAGTCTTCTCTACACATTCACAAATAGGACACACATGTGACCCTGGACAAGTCACTACATATACAGAGTCTTGGTTTCCAGATCTGAATTAAAGGAGAGGTTATAGGAATGGTCCCTGAAGCATGGGTTGCATGACATGATTCATCTCAGACAATAAGGTCATAGGCTTTGTGCTGTCATTCAGAGGTAACAGAATGGGATTTTATTAAATAAAACCCAGGGTTTTATTTCCCCTTCTTCCCTATTTCATGACCTAAGAAACTTCCAATTATGGGTGCTACTTCCATCATAATCAAAGATGAATGTTTCTCAGGAGCCAGGCACTTCTGTTCTGCAATTTCTCTGCTACCCAACAGTGCACATTTTGTTGTAAAATATAGTCACTGAGTCTCAATTCAATCACCATACATCTTTTCCAAACATCTTTTCTCCAAAGCCCACTGACAAAACCAGAAACAGAGAAATGTTTGTGGAAGGAAAGACAGAGAGAATATAGTGAAATAGCAACACTGTCAAGCAAGTAGGGTTGGGGACATTCGATGAGGTGCACACAAAGGCAGTGCACAGAGGGTTACCATTTCCTGATGTCTGGCCTCTCCCCGCCTCTCAGATCCTGCACTCCAAGGACCATGTACTTACTCAGGCATCCCTTCTTGATCTTGTGCCAAAGTCTCTCCTCCAGCAAAACTTATATTCAGCCACTGCCCAAGGTTGAGTGTGTACTTCCAACTCAGGGAAGGCTCACAGAACTGGAGCGCTCACCCAGCTAGGCACTCTGTCTGCTCCTAAATCCCCCACCCCATTCCCTGGCACACCCAGGCTGCTTTCCTTGTCCACATGGGCATGCCCTCATTGCTCCTTATACTGGTGCCATCGAAGACACTTCTTTCCAGATCCAAATCTGTTGGGAAAGAGTTCTAAAAAATTTTGTCATTCTTCTTTTCCTAGAAAAGTCCATTACACTGTAAGTTCCAGAAGGATCGGGACTATACCTTATTTGTCTTTATTTTTTGGAAAGCACCAAGCAGATTGCTGCCTGGCCATAGGTACATAATAAATGTTTGTTGAATTAATGAATGGATGGGTGAGAGAGAGAGAGAAAAGGAAATAAGAAAGGAAGTGAAACGAAGGAAGGAAGGAAAGGAAAAAAAGAAAAAAGGAAAGAAGGAAAAAGGGAAGGAAAAGGAAAGAAAGAGAAAGAAAAAGAAAGAAGGAAGGAAGGAAACATCTACAAGAAAAGAGTCAATGTTCAAAATGAGAATTCAGATCACAAATCTCACCTCTAAGGTACAAAGTTATCTTTTCTTTTCCATAGATAACCCAAGCAGGACAATGTAATGCATATGGTTTCTGCAGTGTCTGTGTTGCACAAAGGTGCCTGTGTAAAAACTGGAGGGGCTGAAGTCCAACCCGAGTTCTGAACCTGGCATGAGGCTGCATCTCCCTGGAACAAAAGAAACCTTTTCACAATTTGCACAAAGGCTCCAAATGTGCTGGCGGAAGGCCTGGCCTCTTTGGAATTATGTCCTCTCTATGCTCAAAGTGCTGTGTGATTTACTCCTCACAAAGCCCCTTCCTGTTTTGACTTCTTTTCTGGGTTTAGGATTAACAGAGGTTTTCATGACAATGAACACCAATGTGACAGGTAATTTTAATTTTCTTCCCTTTTTTGGTCCATGTCTAGGGCTTTAGGAACAAAGCCTTCCTGGATTGATGCGTTCATCCAAGCCCTTCTGCATGCAGCAGATTCTAACGTGATTGCCGTGGACTGGGTTTATGGGTCTACGGCGGTCTATTTCTCAGCCGTGGACAATGTGGTTAAGCTGAGCCTTCAGATCTCCCGTTTCCTCAGGAAACTCCTGGTAGGTGCAGAAGATCTTAGGGTGCATTTTGGTTGGTTATCAGGGAGAGGAGAAAGAAAAAACTCTGCATGAGGAGGTTTAGGGCAGAAGCAGGGCCACTCAGTGGCTTGTTGGTCTTGGGTTCAAGTATTGAGAGTGCTGACCTTGGGCAGGTAATGGAACCTTTTGAGCCTCCTGTTGCTTTTCTGCAAAACGTGCCATTGCACGTTAGCCAGGAAGTCAGATGGCCTGGCATTTAGTTGTTCTTGAGAGAGAATGGCCAGGGTCACTACTCACACACTTTGGGTACCAAAAGGACAGTGAGGGAGGGGATTGTCAGGGTGGGGAGCCCACGAAGAGAGCCAGTGACCAATGATGAGAAGCATGTGGCGGGTGTGTCACGCCCAGGGCCCTCACCCAGTGTGCCATGATGAAGCCAGTGGCTACTATGGCCCACCTGGAACTCACTGTCCCTGCGGCTGTTCTAGGTGCTGGGCGTGCCAGAGTCCTCAATCCACATCATTGGTGTTAGCCTGGGGGCCCACGTTGGGGGCATGGTGGGACATTTCTACAAAGGCCAATTGGGACGAATCACAGGTAATGTTTTCCTCTGCCCATCCTTCCAGGGTTTCACAATAGAGATTGTCGTGGAAATGCTTCTGGGGAAGGCAGAGGGGAGTGTGGAGTTTTTGTTCTTATGAGCAAGTCATATATTATCACTAAAATTTATTTACTATGGTCTTTTTGCAAAAAATGGTGTTGTTATTATTGCATGATCTCTAACATCAGTGTGAGAGGCCATGTATTTCTTTTTTTTTTTTTTTTTTTTTTA